CCCGCGGGGCCGCAGCCCGGCCTTCTGGAACGCGGTTCCTGGGGAGCTCCCGGACGCTCCGCTCGGTCCGCTACATGTCTGCGGGCGCGCTCCCCCTCCCTCCCGCAGCCCCCGTAGGGGAGGTCATGCAGACACGGGAACGGAATCCCGGCTCAGCTCGTCACTCCCCTGCTCGCTTGTCAAAACTCCACGGCATTCCAGACCCGCTTCCCCCGGTCACTCCCCTCGCAGGGAGAAGGAGCCCGCCCCGGGCAGGGTATCGGGGAGTCTGGGGTTGCTGATGCAGACGCTTTGTTTACATCAAGTGCTCGGGAGCTTCCAGCGGTAACTGGGAGCAGGTTTGAAAGAGAAAACGCCCTACCCAGATACCCTCGCCCGGTCCCAAGCCCCCCCTCCCGCCCGCCACAAGGAGCTCCACCTCCCCAACATCATTCATTTCATAACCGCTCCGTTTCATAATCAGCAGCAGCATGGGTTCTTACTGGGGGGTGGGGGCCCAAACTAGAATCACAGCCATCGCACCGAGCAAGGTCAAGAAACTTTCCAGAAATCTCCACTCAGATTCTTTCTGCTGGAGTAACCAGATTTTACCACTGCTGAATTACAATCGCCGGTGACGGCACAACTTAAGCATTTCCTTGATACCTTCTCCCGCTCCTGCGGCCCCTCCCGTCTTCTGAGGGTTCAGTCAACAAGTCATCCCCCTGAGAGGCATGAATGGGCTTGGGCCGTGCAGCCATCTCTCCAGCTGCAAATTGATGAGGAAGCCCGACCCACGAGGCTGAATTGTTTACATCACACCCACCGAGGGCTTCCTGTCTTAAATTAATGGGAATAGAAATAAGACAGGAAAAGAGTGTTTGCTTTTCTTAAAGCTAGGGTGGGGAGCAGGCAGAGAGAGGGGAGGGATCACCCCACATTTCATTGCATGAAGTGGTTGCTTTTCAAAACTTCAATTGTATTTCATTCCATTTTTCTACTTTAACACTTGTTGAAAAGAAAAAGTATTGCTGTGCCAAACCTCAAACCATTAAGGGACTTATGCTCAAAACACATTTTCACCTGGCTTGGAGAGGCATCCAGGTTGGAGCTCTCAGGGGGAACTAGGGGTGGAAAGACCTCTTGTGATTGAATGGCACACATCTCGGCATACATCGAAGCCCTGTGCCTTCTGGGACCTGCACACATGCACGCACACTCACCCCATTCCTTAGTTCATACCAGAAGCTTGCATTGCCCACCTCCCCCACCTCACCCCTATGCATCTCTAAGCTATGGTTCTCCTCCTGGGCATCCAGCAGCCTCTGAAAGTAAATTAGCTTTGCAAGGGACAGATCTGGTGGAATTCAAAGCAATTCATTATGAAGGAGAAAGCAAAAGAAGGCTTCAGTTCCCAGTACCATTACTGCTACTGGAATGGGTAATTAGAGCTTGGGAAGGGCCAACCCATGTCAAGACCAGCCTGGACATCTGACCTCTCTCAGAAACAGCCCACAGAGCACAAGGTAAATAATCATCATAATCACCGGTCCTGGAATTACCTCCAGTTGCTTCACTCAAGTTGACTCAAGAAAAAATGGGGAAACAGGC